AGGATTTTAGGTAGGGATGATTTTAAGAAAATTTTAATTGACACACAGCTTCCAATATTTGGCTTTTAATTTGGTTTTATGGGGTTTTTTTGTTTTTTGATGTATTTTGTTTGTATCTGTTTTAATATGCTGTGCACCGCCCTGAGTCCTACGGGAGAAGGGCGGTATATAAATTAAATTATTAAATTAAATTAAATTATTAAATTAAATTAAAGACTGCAATGCCAATCTCAAAAAGCTAAGCAAGGCTGGACCTAATTAGTATTTAAGAGACCATCAAGAATTATCAGGCTTGTATACCAGACAGATAAGTTGAAAAAAAAAACATGGAAGAAGAAGGTAATAGCAAAAATCATGTATCTATTATTACCGAGAAAACCAGATGGGTTAAGTAGCCAGGACCTGGGCTGAGTCCAACTCAAATTAATCTCTACTTTTTACTTTACTGTATTTAAATATAATATTAAAGATCTTAATAAACATTCCTGCTTGAGAAGATTGTTATTCTGTATTTTGCATAATTTATCTTTTTTCATTTATTGTTTTTTAAAGCTGACAACAGCAAAACTGTCTATAATATTTTAAGTAAGATAATGCACTGAATAAAAGACTACCTGGTACGTTCTTAGTCCCATATCACCCCATAGTGGTACGTTCAGTGAACAGCACTATATAAGCCACTATCTTTTCAGACTCAGCATTTCTACACACATCTATTATGGTAATATCACCTACTGGTAGAACTGTTGCTAGGATTACTATTATAGTGGACACTGAAAACTTAAGTACTATTTAAATATTATTGCAATTACTGGAAATGATCTAGTCCTCTTTATATATTAGGGTCCAAAGGGTGAAGTACATACTGACCCAACTTCTTATGTGTACAGGTCCTTGTTTTTGTTCACCCCAGGTTTTGTTGAATGATCATATGTAATAGTAATAAAATGCATCTAGCCAAATGCATGAATTAATCTATTTATAGCATGGACTTTGTTCTTTCATAAGTCTAATATAACAGGAAAGACATGAAATAAAATACCACACCATATTTTTTTCTTATTCTATGAATAATAGAATAATAGCCAGCTCAATTTCATATAGTATAAGTAATAAAAAAGCAGAGTATATTCAAACCTCAATTTTTGTTTCCAAATGATGTTTCACCATTCATGTCTACTAAGTAAACACAATTCTTACTGGGAAATTTTTGAGGAGAGTATTGCCCATCTAGTTTACTTACAAGATGCAGGACTCACGTATAGTGGGGAAATTACCAACTTTGAACTAAGAATTAATGTATTAATTAAAGTCTTGACTTTAAAGCTTTGAATTTTCTTTTCTAATCCAACAAAATTTATTATTAAAAGCAAATACAATGCCTCTATGCAGAAATAAATACATAAACAAATAAACCTGACGCAATTGGAAGACACATACATTATCATCATCCTCTATAGCTTCTCCAGTGAAATAGAGGACAGCACGGGGCACTATTCTTTCACGGAAGAAGTGTCCAACTTCAAAATCTATGGCTAAAGTACATTCTGAATCTTCATCCTGCAAAATTAAAAGAAGAAATTCTGAGTCTGTATAACTACGTCTATCTTATCATCAAGAAATCATTTAAAATGAGTAATAAAACTAAAATTGAAATATTTTGTAGACTATAGAGATGCATTTCTACTAATTTGCAACTGCTAAAAAAGACAATTCTGATTTATAAAAAAGCTTGTCTATTCCCCAAACCTTCAATTTTCAATAATGTATCAAGTAATATCAACATTTTATTAGAAACAACCCTTTTTATAAACCAGTCAAAGCTGTAAACCTCTGTTTTTGAAGCAAAAAAAATATTGTGAACAATTATTGACCAGCTTTGGAGATCAAGTAGAGATTATATAATGCTTAGAGACCAAACACCAGAGAAAAGGAGAAAAAGAAATAAACAGAAAGCTATCACTAAATTGATTAGACTTTATGCAATATTGTTAATGAAATATTTGATATGAACAATCAAATGTGAAGTTGTAAAGCTGAACTCATTATTTAAAAAAATGAAATGAAACTTACCAGTGATTCTCCATCTCCTGAAACTACAGGAAAAAAAATACACAAATGTATTGTAAATTGATTATAAAGCAATTTTTGTGTTTCAAATGCTAACATGTATAGTATTTATATGAATAGACAGATTTTAAAAAAAGAACCAAAGTATGTTCTAGTATAGTGCCTTTGTGAAGGGACAAATAGGAATCCAATGTAAACTCTCTCCCTTTGTTTCCTAAACCAGCAGTTTAAGCACAAAACACTGGAGTCAGAAAAATTGTGCAAAAGAAAACTGCAGAACATGTCTAATTCAACATGGAAGTAGTTTTGGCTGAATGGATAAGTTTGTATGACACTAATATTTACATAATTAAAAAAAGAGATTTGTGTTAAACTTATTATTTCCATGTAGAAGAGATTCAAAGGACGTCTAATAATAAATAGCATTGTTAAAATCCAATACCAATGCTTTGATATAGTTATATCACTAATATTAAATCACATCTTAAAGGATTTATTCAACATTATCTATACCCCTATAGGGATGGTATTCACTATGATAAGAATGATAAGAAGAAATTCACAACATTGTGGTAACTTTATTTTGGCTTTCTTGGTTAATAAAATACAGCTCTCCTGTCCAGAAAAATCTGTGATAACAAATATTCAAACTGTTTTTCCAAGTTTTGTTGTGTCTTTTCCTAGTTCAGAGCCATGATCCATAGATCAAATAACAATTTTGCATTGCAACTAAGAAAAGACATCATGTGGAAAAACTAGAATCTAACAAGTAGGAACTATTATGTTGTTAATCCCAATTCTTCAATTTTTAGGTTGTTGGAAGAAGACGACATACACCAGGATTAATATGTAGCTCAAAGTTATGATTCATGGTATGTGCATGAAATACATCTAAGATATTGCACAACATTGTCTTATGGATTATGTGTCATAACCAGCAGAAGTATCCCTAATAACTTAATGATATTTAATTTCTGTCACCTCTTAGTACAAAAATACCTGACAGATTAAAAAAAAAGTCTTCTTTTCAACATTATGGTTTATCAAGAAAAGGAAGTATGTATTCTGGTGTATAGTTAGCTTTTTCCTTGCAATCTACTCAGGGTTATATGCTTGGCTGGAAAGAGGCAACTGAGAGAAAGGGGGCATCTTTTTAAAAAAGATAGCTACAAAGCTGAATGTGTATTGATAAAAGGAAACCCTTCTGATTTGCTATGCTAAGAGAAAGATCTACTATACAACCTTCTATACACATGCATGTTATTTTACTTCTTAATATTCTCTCTATTCACTGTTCTGAATAAGCAACATTATACAAAGTTCATAAAAGTAAAGGTCAAAGAAATTAAAGGCATAAACCAGGACAGCCAAACCTGGCTTAAATTAACAGCATTCATTGAGGTTCTCAATACTCCACAAATCCTTTAAATCATTTTTGCTTTAACTATGCTATACAATGCTTCATATACTTCATTCCATTCTTTAAACTTCTTGCTTCTAAGAATCTCCCCAAATTTGGATCTTACAAATTTGATTATCACCTTTCATACTCCTGTAAACATCATTTTACAATTAACAAAACTTACTGTGGTATTTTACTGTTACAGCATCATGATTCACTGCTAACAGTGAACATGGGTGATGGACTGCCTATCAGTTTGAAAGCAAAATGTCCTACTTAAAAATAAGGCAACAGCTTCTCAATATGCCAATGCTATTCCTAAGCATTCAAGCAAATTTCAGAATAAAGAAAGAATGCATAAAGCAGCTTAGTGACCTTTCAATACCAAAAATGTTGCAAGTAAAATAAGAATAATGGGACAGAAATTTAGACTCAAATTTAAAACTGAATAGAATATATTTTAATTTTCCACCAGATTATGTACACTAAAGTGTTAGGATCAGAGGAGAGAGATTTTTGTGTTTTTATTATTATTTAGAATATTTATGGTCATCCACTATCAGTGACTAGGCTGGTGGTGGCGAACCTATGGCACGCGTGCCAGAGGCAGCACTCGGAGTCCTCTCTGTGGGCACGCGTACCGTCACCTCAGCCCCGCGGCCCCCTCCTCACCAGCAGCCTCCCTGGAGGAGAATCGCCCCCGGGTGCGGCCCACACGGAGCAGCACAGCCAAGGGCATAGCCGGGCAGCAGGGACACGACTCTGCCCTCGCACCCCATAGCGTGCAGATGATGCTGCGGGGTATGGGCAGAGGGCGTGGCTGCCACGGTGCTGCAGGGCTGTCATGGTGATCTGCTGTGGGCCATGGAGGCGGTGCGTGTCCCTGCAGGTGGGCAGGGCAGGGGGCGGCGGAGCAGGCAGGGTGGGAGGCGGAGCGGAGGGGCAGTTTTTGGGCACTCGGCCTCTAAAAGATTCGCCATCACTGGACTAGGCTGCTTACAAACTGCCTGTTAAGAGCTTCAGTGTTTGTCTTCTGCATTTTAAAGCTACTCATGCTCCGGTTCAGTTCATGGTTTGCAGCCATTCCCTGCTCTAAGCCTTTTAAAGCACCATATTTTTTTTCAAAAGGATAACTCCCCCTCCAACCTCCCTTCCTTAAAGTGATTTTATGTGTTCCACAAAACATTGCAAATACCTCATCCAGGTTAACTACATCAAAGTCCAAATTAAGTACCTATTCTGAGCTGGACACTTATTTCTGCAACTATTAAACATTTTGCTAGTTCTAACTTGCTTTGACTCTCTATGCTAAAATCTTTACAAAATCTACTCAAGTCTCAAAAAGTTCAATATTATAAAATAAGGGCAGAATAAATTGAATCAATGTTACCTTTAATTGGGCTGAAGAAATTAAAAAATGAGTCATTAGGTACTTGTTTAGTAATTGTTCTGACAGTGCCTCGACCCTTGTGTTTCTGTTTCTTCTTTATTGTTTTTACTGTAACATTTTTTCCTTTCTTCCAATCAATAGTGCATCTGGAGATGAATTAAAATTATATATCAGTGACATTAAGGAAATAGATTTATCACTCAGGCTAGTATTAGCAATGATGACAATAGCAGCCTTCTCTTGCACTCTAACAGTATTAGAGCTATCTCGAACTACTTATGAAAGAATGTGAAAGGAACAATATAATAGAGAAAGAGACATTAAGAAAATTTCAGATTTCTATATGTTTAAACCACAATATTGAAAACAAAATGACAATATGAAGATGGCATTTTAACTGATAAATTCTGAAAATGGAATAAGGAGGCAGCAAAGAAACTTCAGAATGTTGCATAGGCAGTAATGCTTGTAATACAAAGATATTTGAAATAATCAAATTACTGCTTAAAATACTAGAAAACTTTTGAATTTCAGACAGGAAAATTTCCAGTTCTGTGTGGAAATGCCAGAGATCAAACTCAAGATATATTTTTTTTTACCAAAACATGATCCTACTACTGAGCTAAAACCCATAAGTACATTTGAATTTTTAACAACTTTGGAAACTTTGCTTGTAGTAAAGAGCTCTCTCCATACTGCTTTGTTGTGTGATTGCCACTGACAGCCTTCCTGTCAGCTTCCCACACAAACAAAGTGAATGGGAAGCCAGCAAGGCCATGGGGTAACTCTTGTAAGTCAATCTCACCACTCTTTCTCCTGAGAACCCCAGCTATAGTCAGATTACACATACCTCCTAGATTGCATGTCTGCAACACCCACCCACATTCACTAGCAGCCACCCCACCCCTTGCCCAGTTACACTTGCTCCACCCACACACCCAGAAGCAGCTGCTTTCTACCTGGACACACTTGTGCCACAGCAGCCACCTCAATGGTCTCCCTCATTTGGGAGCAACCACCACCACCTGGCTGTGCTTGTGCTGTGCCCACCTGTTGTTGGGAGCAGCTAACTGCTGGCTGGCTGCACTCAAGCCACAGAAGTCACTGACCTATCCACTGGCCTGCCTGTGAGCTGCCCAGGGCTTACAACTTCCTGCCAGCTTCTCTATTGACTAGGTTTGTTGGAAGCCAGCAGGAAGTTGTGAGCAGGTCCTCCCTTAGTAACTGCTATCCTTGCTTAATTGCAGCAACAGGGACTACAGGGATTGCCATCACGAAGTGATGTGGTCATGTGACATCATGCTTTATGACTACATCACCTAATAGTGGAAATTCTAGTCAAATTACTGTTATTAAGCAAGGAATACCTTTTCTAAGCAGATGCAATTGTTTGCCTAAAAGTACACTACAGCACAATGCTGATAACTTTAAATATCTTTTATCACTTTTTAGATCCTACTTGTTTGAATCACAATAATTAAAACAGCATTATATTAATACTTCAGTAGTCTTATTAAGCAGGGAGTAGCTACAATTCTGCACGTAAGAAAGTGCAATTATCAAAACAAAAGAAAGGAGACACTATCATAAGAACTGACAGAGGAAGAATCCTTTTATTACAAGGTAGGCAAGGTGGAACAATCCCAATGAACAAACTGACGAACAGACCCAAATGATGTAATACTACCCCACTGGGGCTGAGAAATAGCTTTCACATTTTTAGAGGAAGCAAGGGTTAGAGAACAAGAGATATGATGGTGAACCCCTTAAAGGCAAAGAGGATACAGTTTCAACTCTATAGAAAGAAAGAAAAAGAAGAGTCTTGTTGCTGTTGTAAGGAGCCAAAGTAAACTGATGTTCCAGTTCAATCCTTTTGATTGTTAAGTGTGCTGTCTGCCAGGAGCAAGAATCACAAAGACAAAAATTTCCAACATAATACAAAGATATTTGAAATAATCAAATAATCAAGTTCACTGATAATTATCCCTGCTAACTAATAAACATGGGACAAATTACACTGCAAAGAACAATTACAATAAGACTTCAAATGTTTAAGAAACAAATTCAATACTGGGAGGGGGGGCGCTTAGTGATGTTCTTTCCTTCTAGTCCATGGAAAAATATTGGAAAAGGAAATGCCAGGCTGCTGACCCAAGATGGGCTGTACCCAGAAAGACTGATAAAACCATCTTCAGCTAAAGGCAGTGAATTTGATCAGGAGAGCTTTAAAGTGAAACTTGTAGGGGCTGGAAACAAAATCTTTGAAACGTGAACTCAAATAAAGGCTTGTCTAACATACAGGGAAAGTAAGAATCTTGCTTTAATGAAGCCTATTAAATTGCTCAAATAACAGAGGGATTTGTTCATAAAGTTAATGACCACTGTGTATAATAATGTATAACCATTATTATTCACAGTATAAGAAGTAAGTAAGAGGACTCTGAATGCCTACTATAGGAAGGCAAATATATCTAATGGATATAAGAGAAACCTGGTGGGATGACTTCCATGACTAGTATTCAGTAATTAAGGATACAATTTATTCAAAAGGTTCATCAGGGAATAGATGACTGGAATGAGGGGAAAAAAATGAGGACAAAAGCAGCCAATGCAACTGCACAAAAAGCAAAGTATGAGCTAATGCCTAAGAACAATAAAAACCAGCTACTTCAGATATGTTCAAAATAAAAAAAATCAGTGCATCAGCTGATCAATAAAGATCACAAAATGTTAACAGATAACAAAGAGACAGAACTACTTAACTCCTATTTTGACTCATCTTCTGCAAAAAAAAATGTTTTCTATCAAGAGATTGTAAAGAGTAGGATGAAGGGACAGGATTGAAACTTGCTATTGATAAAAACATATTTGGAAAATATCTATTTATCTTAAAACACCCATGACCAAGTGAACTGCTGTTGAAAGAACTAACTGATGATCTGATATTAAACGTTACATATCATCTCTGAGAAATCCTGACAAATTAAAAAAATGCCTCATTATTAGAGTGGAAGAACCAGGGGACTATCGTTTTGTTAGTCTGACCTCAATACCTGAGAGATCTTAGGGCAGGTCATAAAATCGGTAGGTAAGCATCTTGAAAATGATGTGATAATTACTAGAAGTCAGCATGAAAGTGTTAAGAACAAATATTATCAGACTAATTTCATAATACTTTTTTGATGCGATAACTCAATAGGTTGTGGAATTCTAAAGACACAGCTTGACTTTTGACAATCTCAAAGTATCCTATGACATACTGATTAAGTGTGAGCATGACAAATAAGTAGATAAGTAACTGGCTCCAAAGTTATGGAGTATTTACCAATGATTTTCTCAAATTGGAGAGACATACTGAGTGGGGTGCCATAAGGATCAGTCAACGGTTCTATATTCTTCACTATTTGTATTACTGACTTGGATGAACAGGTGAAGGGAACACTTATCAATTTTGCAGATGACACAAAATTGGATAAGACACCTAAAAACCTAGAAGATATAAATAATATTCAAAATGATCTTGATAGGCTAGAGAAATAGTATGAAAGAAACAACAATAAATGCAATTTTTTGCTTTGGAAACAAAAATAAAATACACAGGCATAGGATGGAGAAGACTTGTTATGGTATGGTACCTGTGAAAAAACTCTTAAGAATGCATGCCAACAGCATAATTTAGTTGCCAAAGGTGGTTCTTGCGATTGGTTGGTTATATATTTGTGCAGTATATAAATAAAAATATATTTTAGCTGCATAAATAAAATTATATTTTAGCCGCAATTCTGTGATTGCCTAATCACAGAAATAAACTATTTCATTTTAATTTGTTACCCTAAATACTGTCCAGTTTTAGACAATGTATTCTGAGAAGCATTTAAAGAAAAAAAAAATCCAGAGAAAGACAACAAATCCTGATCAGGGGGACCAGAAATCCTATGAAGAGACATTGAAAGAGTTCGGCATTTTTAACAATGAGAAGAAATGATAGGGGAATGAGGTGGGAATATAATAGTACTCTTCACTGGATTTAAAGTCTGGACCCTGTGCTGAACAAGCAAGACTGAAAATCAGAAATATTCCTTTTCAATTCTGTTTCTATGTCTTAAAGGCTAATTTGTTAGAACTGATGTAAATTCATTCTAAAATGTTTGCATACCCAATCTTATTAGTAATAACTATTATCATTTCCTTTTCTACCACTCATTCTATCTAGCAGAATAATTTACCCTATTTTACATTGTGACCACATTACGATACAATCTGATTAAAATCTAAAAAAAATTTCTTTAAAACATTTCCTTACCCCTCACAATCAACAATTTCAGGACCCTCGAATGAAAATGGATCTGTCTTATCTGGTTCTGATTTCATCTTGTAGGTTTTTGTCAGAGTTGAATTAGTAAAGTAGTCATTGGGCTCGAAGTGAAACTCTAATGTAAAAGACTAAAAAAAGTTCATTAAAAACATTAAAAAAAGTTCATCAAAGATCACAATTTTCTGGCAGACAGTAAAGAAAAACAATCAACTGTGAGTTCAATGGAGAATCTGAATAGACAATCGGCAGCATGATAGATGAATTGGAACAGATTATCAAGTCATTCCAAAATGACATGGTTCACATAAGTCGAGAAATACAAAGATATGAACATTTTATAAGGGGTGTGCAAACCCTTTAAACAGATCCTGTTTAAATTTCTGAACTACTAAAGCACAATTCACATGGAACTTTTAGAACATGTTCCTATTTATTTATTTATTTATTTATTTATTTTTATTTATATTTCAACTTATATGCCGCCCTTCTCCCCATGGGACTCAGGGCGGCTCACAGCATATTAAAACAATACAAAACATTTCCCCTCTAAAAGCCAATTAAAAACCAAATATTTGTCGCTGTGTCTTGATAAAATCCTTAAAATTGTCCCTATTTAAAATTCACCCTATCTCTTGATGTGTGCATGCAGTCCTTTGTGTAGCTATAATAAAAATGAAGTGGCTCTGCATGCACATATTGCAGATACAACAGATGGCAAATCCTAAAGTACGTGTATAAGCCTGGAAAAAGGTTTAATATTTTTGAGAAATTTCACCTTGCTACCTAACTTTCTGAAACATTCCTACATCAAAGTTTACAAATTCCTGTTAATTTATTATCTAGTAATTGCAACTGAACAAATGTTATAAAGCAAGTCATCATTACTTCCACCGCTAATTCCCCAACCATGTTACATTGTAATAATATTCATCTAATTTGGTGAGACTTAAAATTGAAAGGGAAAAAAAAAAGCTCACTAAGTACATCTTGCAGTTCAGGTGTTAGTTCTGCTTTTCTATTCAACAAAAATGTAAACTACAGTGCTGGTGCAAGACAAGATTATAATGGAAAAATGGAATCTAATTTTAACCACTTGTTTCTTCATCCCAGAATTCCTTGAAAAAATCCTTCATATATAGCCATGTTATTTTCTTCTTAGGACTGAAGAGCCTGTTCCCTGTTTTCACTTTATTTTTCCCTTGCTTAGCCACCTATTTAGGAGTTCTGGAGAACTCTGAAGCTTACACATAATTTGTGAGATCAAACTGATGTATTAGAGATTTCACCTTAACATATATAGTTTGGCCTGCCTTGAAGAAATTGGTGCTTCATTCTCTCAAGAAATTACTGCCCATACCTCTTGCTTGAGAGGCAGGAGGCAGCCTTCATACAAATGCATCCTGTGCACCAGTTACATCCATTCTTGGACTGGGAGGCACTGCTCAGTCACTCATGCCTTAATTACCTTCCATTTGACTACTGAAATGCACTCCATATGAGGCCTGTCCTTCAAGCATTTGGAAGCTTTTGTTGATCCAGAACATAGTGGCATGTGCAATTTTGGACACATGTCAGTATGTCCATGCAACCTCATTGCTGTGCAAGGTGCACTGCCTCCCAGGAGGCTTCTGACTGTGATCTTTAAAGTGCTAGATGGCACGGTACCAGGTTGCATATGGGATCATCTCTTCCTGGTGGTATGTCTGTCTTAGCAGACCTGGCAAAATGGGCATGCTACTAGTTACACAGTAGCATGGATTCACAGAAACATGCCTTCTTTGCCATGGTATCTGCCTTAGGAAATAGACTCCCTATTAAAATATGCTCAATTCCCTAACTCTGTTGGCCTTTTGCAAGGCTATGAAGATCTGGCTCTTCCTCCAGGCATTGGGGTCAGGACTCTGGCACGATTGTATGTGTCTAGTGATGCTGTGTTTCAGTTGAGTCTCGATGCAGTTTTATTTTTTGGTCTGTTTGTTTTAATGAAATTCTGTTTTTGTTTGACACCGAGATTTTTTGGGATAGTCACATGTGGGGGGGGGGGGCGGAGACATACATAGAATAAATAAAAAGAGTAGATAGAATAAATAAATAAAATACCACCAGAAAGATGAATGCCAAACATTCACGAAACAGGTAATATTGAATTACAATGCAAACATGGGCAGGTTAGTCTTCTAAGCAATCAATAATGAACCACCCAACTATCAATTGTTTCTACCTCTAAAGACTACATTAACAAAAAAGACTTTAACCATATTTCAATAAAAAAAACTGTTTTTAATTATTTAATATCTGTACTAATTCTAATTTGTTTGTAATGAAAAATGCCGGGAGCTTTGTTATAAAATCATAGCATGACTACACAGTAATTTTCTTATTCCAAAACAAGATTTTTTAATTATAGAATATTTACTTCAGCATAGATATTGTATACAGAATATTTAATAGGTCTACATCATTGTGGAGGTATTTAGCTATCAGAACAAATAACATGGGGAATGTCTGTCCTGTCTGTTTATGAGGATACAGATAAAAGAAGTTCAAATGTTAGGTTGTGGGGTTTTAAGATGCTCTTCATCAAATAATAGCAGTGGGTGGTGTATTGTGGCACTATACTACTTAAGAATTGTTCCAATACAGCAGGATCTTTGAAAATATGGCTGAGAAAACCTAATATAAAAAAAAACCTGAAAGCTTCCATATAAAATCATTAACTGCCAATTTATATTAATATTTAAAGTTAATCAATACTAACCATAGGCTGTCCTGGCTCAGAAAATTTCACTTTAATGTCTTGCAGGTGTTTTAGAATAGGTTCATCATATTCCTAAACATGAATGGAAAATCTATTATCAAAATGAAATAAATGAGTTACATTTCAATAAAATAACAAACTACATCTGTGCAAAAATCAGTTTTGATTTTTCCTTAACTCTTAAATTAAATACTTTCTACATAAAATGCAAAAGGCTGAAGAATTTGATAGTTACATACTAAATAGGCATTTACAAAATATTTTGGCCTAAGCTGTTCTACATTCTAAACATTTTAATTGCTAAATGTGTTCTGAAAATGAAAGCTGTTTCTGGTTCAGAGCACTTCCAAAATGTTCAAAACTGTCTGTTTGATGATGAAATATTTGAAATAAAATGTTCTACACAAAACTACTAGGTGAATGTCACAAACAGAACTTTTTAGCTGTACTGTCAGCAAAACTAGGTAAATTCTACCATGCATTCATATGTACCTTGGATGTTGTACTCTTACCCAAAGACTGAGACTGAATATGGCACACTAGTCATAGATGGAATCAAAGAAAAAGACTGGCCCCAGAAAGTGTTGTTAAAAAATAATTTATATAAGCAATGCTTATATTTGGGAAGATAATACAAAAAGAAAGAAAGCAAACATGCAGTTTGGATTATCTAAAAAAAAAATCCTATTCATTCTAAAAGAAGGGCCCCCGACCTCCCAGACTGGTACTGGTTTGTGGCCTGTTAAGAAACCAGGCTGCACAGCTGGAGGTGAGCAGCAGGCACGTGAGTGAAACCGAAACCATCGCTCCCCTCCAATCTGTGAAAAAATTGTCTTCCACAAAACCGGTCCCTGGAACATAGAACCATAATTGTATTTCTTGCTTCTAAGAGGGAAAGGCTGCAACACTATATTTGGAAATACTTTTCCATAAAAATATTTGCCAGGAGATTTACTCAAAGCTTTATAAGCCTATTTCATACAATTGTAATTGTTAATATGTAGAAGTACAGTACTGAACATTTTATTTTCCTTTTCCTAAGTTTATAAAAGGGAATGATCACTGTAAAATCCTTGCCAAATGCAAATAAATTTCAAGAGTTCTTTGAATACTGAGGAAAATGTTGAAATATTTTCAAAACTGAGCAGCATTCATTCTCATTCTCCATTAAAAGCTGACTGAAATGGAGGTACTTGCTATTCTTAGGAAAAATACAATAGGAAGGCTCAGCATACAAGACACAAAATTTTACAGGAAGTCTTCACTTAATGACTGGTTGCTTAATGACTATTCAAAGTTACAGTGAAAAGGGTGGTTATGCCCTGTAAAGCATTCCCAGCTATCACAAAACACTGCATACATGCCCCCTGGTCACATGATCATGATCTGTGTGCCTGGCAATGCACACATACTCCCTGGTGACATGATTATCATCTGTGTGCCTGGCAACCTGTTCACATTTAACAGCTACCAAGTGTCATGTAGTCATATGACTGCCATTTGCAATCTTCTCTGCTGGTGTCTCTAGAACAGGCATGTCAAACTCGCAACGTCGTGACATCGCGCAACGTATCAGGCCAGTTTTGCCATTGCCGGCAATGGGGTGGGCACGGCTTCCACGTGATGCGTCTGGCCTACGGGCCGGCAGTTTGACACCCCTGCCCTAGAAAGTCAATGGAGAAATCAGCAGTCAAGGTTGCAAATCGCTGCCACTTGCCAAGATGACACCCTCTCATCTCTGAGGGCTGGCTGAAAGAGTTCCTTGCTGATCCATGTCTGCAGCCAAAATCCAAGCAGGAACAGAGCTTGAATTCCTTCTCTCTTTGACTCCGCAGAACTCTCTGCAGAGGCAGACAGAGAAGGACCCCAAGCTCCATGCATCTCAGCTGCTGAAATGCAAGCAAGCACAGAGCTCAAAATCTCTTTCTTCACCTCCATGCTATTCCGCTGTCCACAGAGGCAGGAAGAAAAAGATCTCAAGCTCCATGCCCACCTGAATTTCGGCAGCCAACAAATGACATTTCCAAACAAATGAACCCAAGAAAGATGCTTAGGGTTGCAATTTCCAGACAACATCTATTTAGTAATACATCATGTACACCCTAATCAAAGTAGCCACTGAATTTGTTACCTGTACTAATTCACTCAGCATATCTACATTTCTAAATATTGTGAACCAAAAATCTGGGATTCCTTTAGGATTTGTCTCTTCGGTTGCTCCTGCTTCTTTTTCTTCTATTACTACTTTGTTTTTCAGGTCTCCCTAGAAGATACAAAAAGGCATTTATATGAGTGTGAAAATTTTATGGAAGAGCTTCCAAAATATTTTAAATTTATTAGAAAAGAAAAATAGCTCATTTAATCCTTCACATTTAATAAGAAGCAAATAGATTTAACAAACAAATAATAAAACATAGTTTTCTCTAATATCACACTTAGGAAATTTCATGTTTGTTGGTTTATAAGATTAGTGCATTCAGCAGATTTGAAAGTATATAGGAAAGGTAGCTCTGTTCATTCCCCTATTTCTAAAAGCTGTCTCACCTTCCATATCACACTTAAACAGAAGGAAGGGTTTATTAAGAACAGCACTCAGAATTATCATATGGTGCCACTCTGGACACAAACGATGAATTTGACAGGAAAATGTTAGCTCTGTAACATTAAATAGGCTTTGGTATTTGGATATGATTTCTCCCAGCTTATCCGAAATCTGTTCTTGACCATTATCTAACAGCATATCCTCCCCAGCCCCAAGTTGGGTGTCTTTAAGGGGTATCCTATGGTCACTGTCCCTGTCTATTTGGCTGGAGTATGAGTTTCATCTTCTTGCTTAGCACTGTGGAGCATTGGGAGGTTGAATGGAAGTTCCCTCTGAGATGGTTTCCCCTGCCTTGTATTTTGCCCTTCCATGTTTATTAGGCCCCTTCTTTTTTATCTTTTGCCCTCTTTCCTGAGAATGGATTCTGGAATTTTTCAAAGCAGATGAAAAAAATGGGAATGAGACATCGTAAAACTTTCATGGACTGGCATCAAGTTTTTTTTAGGGTTCCCACCTTCTGACAGAAGCCCTTTTAGGTGTTCCTCTAGTTTCCCAACATCATGCTGGTGTAAGGAGCAGGTAGGACTACTTATGTTTTGGAGCTCACACAAGTAAAAAGGATCAGGCTTCATAGTGAGAAAGGAAGGGGTCTCCATGGTGAACTACTACCACTGATGCTGTCTAAATCTTGACCTACACATCTCTGCAATTTTGCTACAGGCAAAGAGATTACAGACTCTACTGGTTACCGGGCTGTTCTTCCTAAAAGTCAGGAGCCCAGGAACTTCTACTTTTCTTATCATCATGTGGGAGATCCACTCTCTTTCCTACAAACAACTGATAGAAAAAGTTAAACTAGGCTATTGTTGCTGAAAAGCACATATTACTTGAATTTGGCTTTAGACTCAAGAGCTATGTTTGGTCAAGTTCTTCCCACTGTTCCTCTAATTCATATACATGTCTGGGATCACCATACCAGTCATTATGATTATGTTTCTCCACTCCTGCACTTAAGATCTTTAGCATTGCCTATCTTCACAGTTTTGCATGGTTCATCACCCTCTAAGCTATACTCAAAGGTGGGAACAGAGTATCCCTCAAAAAGCAAAAAAAAGCCCCAAGTCTTGCCTTCTAACTAGAAGATGCAGAGTGACTGGGAGTCACCATATATGATGAGCATAATGTAACTAAACAGTTAAAAAAATCTGGGTCATTTTGGTCACCTATTTTATTGCAACTAACCATTTAGACATCTGCATAAAGCAAAGGAGAAAAGGAATTATGGAGCAAAGGAGAAATAAATGTCAAAAAGTCTTGCATTAAAGATAATATTGCTACTGGTCTAAGAAAAAACAATTTACCAGGACAACAGCCATACTTCCCCCTTCATTACTCAGTTAATCCAGCATTTTCCATCACTGGCAACCATGTCTTTTCAGACTTGCAGTAGGTAATCAGGGAAACTCTACTGCTGCTTTACTGTTATATTTCATCCATTTTTCTGAGGCATATCGCATGGCATAAACCATTTTATACTGTTGATTTAAACTTGAATAGTATTTGCCCACAATGGATTTATATTTCTAAATAAATATAAATGTGAAAAGGAGAAAGGAAAGAAAACTGATGGAACATGGGAAATACTAATCAATGGGATATTTACAAAATTGCTTGAAGTGAGTAGCAGCATAAATATTTGGACAGGAACAGAAACCAACATTGAGAGAAGAAAGGAATTGGCAGTATTCTGAATCAGTAGATAATTGGTTGCAAAAAAAAGTTACTTTTAGATGCTGGAATTTTATCCTTGTTATCAATTGGTTACTTTATTATTTTGTTTATTATGCACCATCCAAAGCTGCATAACTTGGAATTAGGCAGTCATGTAAACGCTACAACCAAACAAACAATTCTCTTCCTTTTCACCAACACATGGAATGTATTCAGGTATCATGCATTAAGCCACAAGCTAATGATTGAATGTGATGGGTGAACTTAGCCGTGTTGATTTGGAAACTGTAGACAAATATTACATACAAATTACTACGATTTGTACAACAAAGCACAGTTAACAAGATGAAACTACTTGATGTAACCCGCAACAGAGATTACAAGCAGGCAAAATAGCCTGTTTATTCTCGTATCAGGTTTTATTTTAGCACTGGAATGGAACCCATTAGCAGAAAAGGCTGTCACAACAGGTTACGAACAGTGCAAATGGTACTATATTGGAATAATAAAATTAAATTTAAAACATTTGTTAACAAACTTCTTGAACAAGAGTTGGCAATTCTGAAATTACAGAAAGGGAAATCCCCCCAAAAACACTACCATGAAATCTGACACAAGCTCCTAATATGCCCTGCTGCACAAATTAATTTGATTGTTCAGTAGAAAAGTTATTGTGACTACCTAAAAACTTTTTAAAGTTTATTTATTTCCACTTACAGCTAGTTTCTCTTCATCTTCATTTTCACTGTGCCATTCTGCCTCTGCTTCGGTAGGTTCAGCATTACCAATGATGAAATCCCTTCTCTGCACAAGGTACACAAATTATAGATACATTATCCAACAGAGCCTAAGAATACTGCAGAAATCTGAAAACAGTGATTTCTCAACTACATTTTAATGGGTTAGTAGAGGTGTGAAAACATTGAAACATTCTGACCTCACTGCTATAATCTGATCAGAATTGATCCAACCTTAAACAGGCTACAGGTAGTCCTCGACTTATGACCACAACTGGGACTTGAACTTCTGTTCCTTCATGATGCAATCATGAAGAGAGTCACAGCTGCTTTTATGACCTTTTTTTAACTATGGTTATTAAGCTATTCACTTACTTAAGTGAATCCAGTTTTCCCACTGACTTTATTTGTTGGAAGCCACTGAGAAGGTTTCAGATGATGATTCCATAACCCCTGGAACTGCAACAATCACAAATACATGCTGGTGTCCAAGAGCCTGAATTTTGATGTGACTACAGGGATACTGCAGTGGTTGTAAGTGTAGGAACCAGTCATACATCAGTTTTTTTCAATGCCACTGTAAATTTGAACTGTTACTAAATGACTGTTTTTTAAGATGAAGACTACCTGCATTCTATCATTCTTGGAAGCAATAAGACTCAATAGCAGTTATACCAATTCTAGAAAGATCAGATTGCCTGTTCCAATGTTGGAGCAAAGTTGGAAGTGAGGCTGCAAAAAGTCCATTCCAAATTCAAAAATGATCATACTAAAATATTTCAGCCACAAAACTTCTTGCATATTTCTATGAATTAGTAAAAAGATCAACTATTTAACACAGAGAGAATGTTGTACTACACCTCTACAGTCCCAATTTATTTTAAACAAAACAAGCAGTACTTTGAACAAAATGAAGTACCACAAAATAGTATTAAGAAGGGAACACTATTTGAATACTGGTGTTACTGGTTACCTTTTTATTTATAACTTCATTAACCAATCTAAAGCTAAAACTGAGTTGCATTTAAAAAAAAAAAAGACAAAGAACTGGGGATTATTATTATGCATTAGTTGAATAATGCTCTAATTCACAAGGCCCAGAAGATTCATGGCTTACCATAATATGGTAAGAGAATGTCAATGATCTTAATACACGGCAACCAATCAAACATAGATATTTCAGAAGATACAGCCTTGAATTATATAAAAGGGGTATGCTTTTGAACATGTAATTAAAAGTTGGAAGGGCAACAATTTGTCTAGCAGTGTCTTTTCCCTCACCCGTATTTTTAATTTAGAGGATTACAAGCAAATTTAACAGTTCAACTGACCCATTACCTTATCAAAAAGGGGTTGATAAAGAGCTGCATATTTTCTCTCTAAATCATGAACTTCTTCATAAAATTTAGCTTCTATATGTGCGCATTTCACCTGAAGCTGTTTCAAGGCATCAATTCTTCTTTTTACTGCTTTTGGTAAGCTGGTAATAAAAACAGTTCATTGAACAATAGCATCAAATATTTTTATTCAACATAAATAATTTGCTTTACATTTAAAATTCATAGTTATTACTGCAGAAATACCTAAAGGAAATATAAATTTTGTGGCTAAATGTGAAAACATATACCGACACAGAAGTTGAAATAAAAATCCAACATTTCTCTAGACATTTATGTCATCTTGTAAACCGAAGTACCTCTTCTGGCTCTTAAAAATACAAGACATTGTTCAAAATTTCTCAGTTGTGCTTCTTTGGGAAAAAACAGGGCCAAAGGAAAATAAATATATTCAACCCCCAAACATTTTACAGCAGTTTCATAGAAAATTAATATATGTGACCCGTTTCTTCCAATGTTAAAACAGTTTTAGATAATCTAATTTATAAAAGAGTAGGGATACATTTCAGAATTTCAGCTAATTTGCAAAAAAGAGTATTTCAGTATTCAATATACCCAATAGCAATGTTTACCACAATTAATGTCAGAAAAAAGGAAAACATTGCAGCAATAAGATCAAAGTTAGAATACAGTACATGCAACTGTAACCTAAAAATACATTAACAATAGTGTGCATATATCTGGTCACATTACTTAAAAACTGGAGAATCTGCTTTCCTTAGTCTTAGGCTTTCTTTGCTATATTAAGAGAATCACTAACCATCTGGACCTCTTTTTCAGGTCAGAGAAGTTTTTCACTTACGTTTCAATATAGCTGGAAGGAGTGTGAGGTGCATTATCAAGTCGATCTTGTAAAGCTGCCAAGACTTGTGGGTTCTGCATTACTTGGTCTGTTAATTTTTCTGTAAAAGCAATACATTGCCTAAATTATAAACCTTTAATGAATTTTTAAGGCCGAAGTCAACATAATATTGGAACAGAAATAAATAAATTCTACTTTTAAGAAAACCTGGAGATCTAATTATTCTCTTGTACTTTCTTCTGAATACTTTCTTGCTTTTAAACCATAGCTGTATCTTTTGCAGATGTAAAACTTCACAAATATTGATTTTTTAAAATTTAAATAACAAAGATTTTTCTCCTAAGAAGCAACAAAATATACAGTTATTTTGTCTCCAGCCTTCGCCTTCCAGAAGTCTCTTCATATCACCTCTCTGCAAACAGGATATAACCCACTGCAGATGAGTATGAGAATAAGCCAAATACAGAAAAGTAGTATAGGCGCTTACCAATTACATAATTCCTCTCTGCATCGGAACTTAAGATTAATATAACCTCTGGTAACCAAATAGTTAGTCCCTTTCTTTCCATCGTCTGAAATAAGTCTGAGCCATTTACCTTTTTTATCACCTGTGCCTTTAGCACTTTCCACAGAATCTGAGGCAGCATCTTCTGCCCTACTGTGAAAATATTTGAGACAAGAACAAAGTTGTTAAAGTTGAAACTGTAAAAAAAATCATATATATGCTTGATTTCCATGAGACACTAGTAGACTATGCCAAACATTTAATTTTTATGTGCCAATAAGTACAAAAAGAACATTAGAATTGGGAACACAGTGCAGAGAGATTAAACCAAAAATTCACATTTTCAAAGTTTCTTGACAAAATAAGCTTCCACTGATAATATATCATTATTTCTAATTTTAAAAGTAGGCAAATATTTAAATTAAGTAGTTTAACAGCTGGTACAAACCCGATGAACAGAGAGTAAACAGACCACTGCTAGAAAATGTAAACAAATAAACACCTTATGACTACTTGATATGCTCTGGCAATTTTCTACACAGCAACAGGATTTGCTTTCTATCACAGATGATTAGAAGTTTGAATGCCCAAATATATTCACAAAACTATAAAATAAAAGCATTATTTAGAAAACAGATTTTAAAACACTTTAGAAAATTATTTTTCAAAATGCTTCAGTTAAAAAAAGGCTGCTAAAATAAAGTAATTATTGGCAGTCACCCTCCAAAGGAAAGGACATTCTTTTTTCTTGGTGTTATAATTTTCAACTCTGTTGGGCTAGAAGCCGAAGATAAACAACAGCAAATAAACTTATAGTAAAGCCAAGCTGGTATGACAGAAAGCATTTCTTTAAATACTTCACTACCAAGCAATCATAATTTTCAAAGATTAAGGTATTTGAACTGGGCTCAAAGAAACACAGTACTGTAGTATTAAACTCTTTTCATATTGGCAAGGCAGAACCAAAACAAGGATATTATAAAAAACATCACTATTGGACTTTGAGTAATATCACATATAACAAAAGCTGAACAACTATTATAAACATGGCTAACTACCTTTCGCCAAGAGAAACCTGCCACACCAATGATTACTTGATTAATGGTTAAGGCAACAGGCTAGAAAGCAACAGACCCTGAGTTCAAGTCCCATCTTAAGTCATGAAAGCTAACTGGGTGACTTTGTGCGAGTCACTCACTCTCATGCCAACCCTCCTCACAGAGTCCTTGTTGTGGGGAAAATAGGAGGAGGAAGATGTGTTGCATATATGCTCATTGCCTTGAATTATTTGTAAAAATAATAAAGGTGGGATACAAACAAAAATATGGATGCAATTAGGAATCTAAATTTCAAGTTTTCCTTTAAGAAATGTACCGTTGGATCTGAACTTGTTGAAAATCATTTTCAACATTGAGTCTAACAGAACTCTCATCTTGTCTCAATTAAGCTTCAGTTCATTAGTTCTTCAGACTATTACTGAATTTATACCTTGGATTAGCACTTCCTTAGCCTCTAGTGACCCAAATAAGAAGCTTAGCTTCATTTCAAATTCTCAGATAAAATGTCCCAATAGCTTCAAAGATAAGAAAATATGAAATGTTTTGGAAGGCAATAACAAATGTTGAACTGAAATCTCCCCCTCAATCCTTGAAAGATACCTAGTAATACTGTAAATAATACGCATCTCTAGAAATAATCCCAATATGCCGGTCAGTATAATCAAGGCTATTTCAATGTCAAGTTAGTCCCACGGCAAAAGTAAAATAAGCTAACCTATTGCTTCTCAGCGATCCTGAAACGGAACACCCACAATTTATTTTGTTTCTTTTATTAGGAAGGAGTTTTAAATAAGCCAAGATGAAAATTTCTCTCAAATAGATATAGCCAGCAATAATAGCTAATAAAGGATCCTTATTGCTAACAGCCAGTAGTTATGAAAAGAGAAAGTTAATTGAACTCAGGACTTTATCGTATCAACTGAGAGCAGATGATGCTTTAGATCCTCAGAAACTGATCTGCTACAATGGATTTTACCCTTGAAATGTTTAGCAAAGTGTATGATATCAAAAATCAACATTCTCTGCAATTCTCCTATTAAAAGAAATTAAACACCACTCAATGATTGGAAGGTAACAAGACAGCAGTAAATGGTCTAAAAATAGTTGTGGCCCATCTTCTTGGCAAGTATAGTTAAAGTCATGTATTAAGTATGAGACAGTATTATTCTAATGCATACTACACAAATGATGCAGCACATGTCCCCAATACAAGAGCAGAATAATCTAAGTAAAAAATGATACCACTAAAAAGATTCAGAAGTAAACAAGCTGTAAAAGCAGTACTGAACTACATTAAAAATACTTTCTACAATCCATATTTTATCATATTTCATTACATTTTCAAACATTTTTTCCATAAGAAAACAATTTCCTTATACATGAGTTTTTGAAACAGATGTTCAAGAGCTTACCTGTTTTCTGCCATCTGTAAGATCTTTTATCCACCTGTAACACAATGCATATAGTTTAAAGTATACAATACGTAGAATGTCTATGTAAAATAAAAAAGGATTATCAATGCAATCTATCATTTTCAGTAGCAGAGAATGTCAATCAGAAATTATTTTCACCAATTTTTCCAAGCATGTAGCCTAGTAGTTAGCCAAATTTTCAGAGGACTGCTCAAACATGTATAATACCACTTCAGAAAGCATAAGGGGAATAACAAAAATCACCTAGGCCCCTCACTTTCATGCAAAGAATTTCCATTGAATAGGAAGAATGTGCCAGGGTCAAACTATGAAATGGTATCAAAACTCAGAGAACTTGAAAACCTAGCTCTCCAAAGCCAACATTAATATTATAACCCAACTAGATGATAGATTGACATGATGTTAGGCTGGAACAATATTTAGATAAGATCTCCCGCAAGAAATACCAGGATAGTAAACTATACTAGGAAGCTCCCCCGCTCTCCACCCAAAAATCCTGGAAAAAGCCAGTGCTAATTCGTTTCTATACTGAAGTTATCAGCAGTTGAGTTCAGCTTGAAGATTTAATTTTTTTAGTATTGTGAATCTACACAGAAATGATTTTAAGGAACATGCCTATGTACAACAGGAAATATACCTATTAATTATTATTGTACTTTAAGACAAACCAACCAATCTACATTATACAATATTTTTTATATTCCCTATTTTAATGTATCTGATCAAAGGTAATTACAATGCAAAACTGAGCATCTATTTTTAATTAAATATTAATTAAATATATTTTAATTTTAATTAAATAAATACAAATATAAATTATTTAGAACAGAGAGAACCCAAGACTGGATGCGAAAATATACTATTGGCCATAAATATTAAAAAGTAAGTCCATGTCTGAAAGTGTAATCAGAATTGGATTACAAAATGTAGCTCAGAATTTATATCTTAATTAAAATAAAAACTAAAGCAACCTTACTCCAAATAGAACTTTACTGAAAGCTACTGAAATAAAATGTTAATATTATGAAATGTTTAAATATAAAATTATGAAGTACTATGAAATACTATTCATATTCAATTATTACCGCCTAGAGCCCTTCTGATGAATATGAGCGATTAAGTATGAAATTTAAATAATTATATTAATATTTAACACTAATCTTTTAACATTCAGAAATCTTTCTAACATTCTATCAATAATTATAAACTAAGAATCTCAAATCTTTTTTCACTAAGGGTACACCAGTCTTTGCAAAGAGTCAGGTTTTACTTCTTGTACATAAGTACTATAATTCTTTACAGTATTGAACTCCATTAGCCATCCATTACAAAATTCTTCCAGTTCACAATTACTTTTAGGCTTCAGGATTGGGATTTTAAGCCAGAGGATTACTTGAATTAAGTCTTTCAATGGTCGTGTGACCAATTTTAAAATAAGAAACCATTCAACTATTGCCAAAGTGCTACCCTCAAAACTAGATATTTTATCTCAGAGAGCAGATGATAGGAAACATATGACATATAACATTTTTTCAGCCTTTTGTCTACAGAAACTGAAATGTTATGCTTCCATTTGATCTGTTTGCCTGACATTAAAATCTTCTCCACCAAGGACTCCTTAAGACTCCTAAGCAGCTTTAGAGTAGGAACCTACAATATTGTACTGGCAGATACCATTCCAAAGGTGACTGACACTACTGTATTGTCTATATAAGTAATATTTCTCCCCCTCTTGTTACAAAAGCACAATACTCTTCAAGTTTACTATGAAGAAAGTCCCATTAAGTTTAAAATAATTTTAAATACAGCAAAATTTATCTAGAATGTTATGGTACCATAAAAACTTATTTCACTATTGTATATGCTTTCATGGATTATCATATGCGTTTATACCATCTATTTGAGTTGGTGTTCGATATTTCAGCTAGCAACTGTCTATATTTTGGAAGTGTGGCAGTACAATGAAATATTTGTTATAACTACACCTAAACATCAGGATTTGTACACTGCCAAGTCTATTTTATGCCATTATTTTGGCTTAATGCTTATAGTGTCCAACTAGAAGTTTCTGAGATGCCCACAAGCAGGAGGGTAAGTTATATCCTTCTCTTATCACTGTTTTCCTGACATTAGTATTGGATGCATGCTATCTCCAGCTGGGAGGTAATATGTTTTCAAGAAAAAGAGTCCTATTTGCAATATTTTTCCCCAAGAGCCATCACATCTTGTGGTATGGTATTCCATAGTTCAATTATGCATTATGCATATACAGATAGTCCCTGACTTATAACCACAACTAAGCCCAAAATTTCTATTGCTAAGTGAAACATTTGTTAAGTGAGTTTTGCCTCATTTTATGGCTTAACTTGCCACAGTTGTTAAGTGAATTACTGCAGTTATTAAATTAGTAACATAGTTGTTAAGTGAATCGGGTTTCTCCAATGACTGTCAGAATTTTGCAAAAGGAAATGACATGACCCTGGGACACTGCAATTGTCATAAATATGAGTCAACTGCCAAGCATCTGAATTTTGATCAGGTGACCATGGGGAGGCTGCAATCGTTGTAAATGTGAAAAATTATCATAAGTCACTTTTTTCAGTGCCATTGTAACTTTGAACTGTCACTAAGTGAACGATTGTAAGTCAAGGAGTACCTATGTTCCCTTAAAATTCTATGGAGCTTTCATTCTGAATAAAAATAGATATGATCAGGTGCACATTAAATTTACATCGCTACACTTCCAAAAACAAGGCAGAGAAAAGTTATACAGGAGTTCTTGTTCAGTTACTGTTCAAAAATAATTTTCTGACCAATCCTTGCATTTATGACCTTCGCAGGTCTATAAAGTAAAGCTGAAGAAAAATCATAACCACAATGGCGCTTTCTCTTAGTGAAGGCTGGTTCAATTACAGTGATGGCAAACCTTTTAGAGACTGAGTGCCCAAACTGCAACCCAAAACCCACTTATGCATCGTCAGATGCCGGGTGGGTGTGGCCCATTGGGTGGGCGTGGCTGCAGTGGTAACGGCAGACTGGATGGGACTAAAAAGTTCAATCAATCAAATTCCAACTTTGCAAGATCTTTTTTTTCCCCGCAAGAAGTTGAAATTGACTGATTGATTGAACCTTTTTTTTTTGTACACGGCGGCAGAGGCCTAAAACGAAAAGGTTCTATAAAACCCAGCTGAAGGCCTAGGACTGGGGTGATGGCACGGGTGCCCACAGAGAGGGCTCTGAGTGCCACCTCTGGCACCCGTGCCATAGGTTCGCCACCACTGAATTATAATAACTAAACATGGACTACCTGTGCAGCACTGCAAGCATATCACAAAACAGACATAAGTATTAACAGGAAGTTGGTGTTTCTAGGAATGTAACTCAACATGTCTAATAAAATAAAGTAGTATCAATGCTGAAATTGTTTCCAAAAGCCACGTTTTATAAAAGTTATAAATTAGCTATTTCTGCACTAGAGAATTTCAGCCTGTAGGCCATTCAATACATTGAATATGATTTTTACATTACCCATTCAATTTTAAGATTTTTTTTTCCCACAGACCAAAATTAGTTTCAGCTAATTACTTTTATGCCAGTTTATTATCTTGAGGGAACTTCTTACATTTTTTTTTTTCTTCACTGGTTTCTTTCAAAACTTGAGGCGAGCGGGAGCAAATTAGCCGAGCTTACAAAATGGGCAGCAGCTTTTACCGGAGAGACTCACATCGTCATGCTATAAATTACGGTAGAAAATTATGGCTTCCGTTAGGGAGCTCAGAGCTACCAATCCACAGGAAACAACGCGAGGATATGTTTTCAAGACAGAGGAAGGAAAAAGAAAAAGAAAAAAAAAAAACAGGAGGAAAATCTTCTCGGGTTAAACGTTAAAGGGCCTACGTTCAAGGGGGGAAAAAACGTTCGTCACACGTAGACGGCATTATTCATGTAAAGGAAATTCCCGCGCTTGTTATTTCTCCGCATAAGTCTTCGAGCACAATATTTAAACCAGGTGGCCTACCCAGCGGAGCAAGAAAGCCCCAAACACATGGCCGAGATGAGAAACGGTAGAGCAGGAAGCGAAGAAGACCAAAGGAAAGGGACCGCCCCGCGAAGTGGAAACCAAGCCTCTCTCCTCCCACCCGCATGTGGCAACCTGGGCGAGAGTCAAAGACTTCTCGCCTTCTCCGGTCCGGAATGGACCCTCACGGCCGCTCCTTAAAATGGTGCCCGGACTAGGAGTGGACTGCCTCACCCGCTCCACCACTTACTTCTCCCACTAGCCGGGCCTGGGCACACCGCACGGGGGTGGCGGGGAGGGGGGGGGAAATGAGCGACCGGCCTCCCCACCCCACCGGTCGTCGTCGTCGTTATCGTCTTCCTCCTCCTCCTCCTCCTCCAGCCGGCCAGCCTGACTACCTGCCGCGAAAGCAAAAGAAAAAAAGAAAAAGGCCGCCGCCACCACGGTCCCGCCCCAAACTCTTCTTCCTGCAGTTGCAGTCTCCCTCTCTCTCTGTCTCTCTCTCACCTGGTCCGGCCTCCGCGTCTCCTCACGCCCGAAACAGCAGCAGCCAGGCGGCTCCTCTCACAGACTCTCTCAGGGCTGCGCCGCCCCGAACAAGACCGCCTCCCATTGGCCAACGACGAGGCACCCCTCCCTGCGCAGTAAAAGCCACCTCGATTGGCGGCAAGGTTAGCAGCGGTCGCCGCTCCGCACGCGGGACATGTTGACTTTCCGGCAAGACAGCGGGTTAGCCAATTGCTACGTCGGGAAAGTGGGAGGGAGGCGAATGAGGAAGAAGCGGAGCGCTAGCGGTGCCTGGGCTCGCGCAGAAGCGCGAGAGAGCGGTCGCGCCAGGTGGGGGAGAGGGAAGCGCGCGCAGGCTGCGCGGTCGCTAGTTAAAGGTACAAGCGCCTTTTAAAAGCACCCAGCTGGCGAGCCGGTCTTTTGGGAGAACGAGGTGGTGCCGCTCTGAAGCTCAGCCGATATTTTTTTTGTTTGTTTTTGTTTTTGTTTTGGGGCTTTTATTTGTGATGAGCATCTTGCATCTGAAAGTTAGCCAGAAACATCCTAGCGGCGTCTTAACCGCTACAGGAGCGTTAAAATGGATAGATGCGGGAGAGACAACTGCTCCCCGTCTCTTCCAAAGGACCACGGTGGAAACGCGTTTTGGGGGGAGAAGAAACCTGATTATATGCTAGGACAGTGTTTCTCAACCTTGACAATTTTAAGGCATGTGGACTTCAACTCCCAGAATTCCACAGCCAGCAATGCTGGCTGTGGAATTCTGGGAGTTGAAGTCCACATGCCTTAATGCAGGCTGTGGAATTCTGGGAGTTGAAGTCCACATGCCTTAAAATTGTCAAGGTTGAGAAACACTGTGCTAGGATTTAGCTGCCGTGGCAAAAGGTCCCGCCTTTCCCTTCAGAACGCCCCCAAACGAAATAATAGCAAAGTCACCAGTCTGGCGCTCTCCAGATTTAGACGGCTTGCCTGAAGACGGTGGTGATTATAAGGACGGTACCAAGCTAGGAAAGGCTATTTTATAGAAACATCACAGATGATAAAATATGCCGTGTCAGTTCCAGCACGGAAAAGTAATTCTGTTAACAGAGCTGAGCGGCCAGCGTTGGCATAATAAACAGATGACAAAAAGGGATTGCTGTATTCTCTTTTTTTTCCCCTGAAGAAGGGAGATATGTGGGAAGCAATTTTACCATAAATGAAGCTGAAGCTGTCACTTTTTAGGCAATAGATTTTCAGACATGGTATCGTTGCTCTAGTTTTGGTTATAAAAAGAATGGCATTCTTTCCCATATAATAATGGCTAAGCCACAATCCTGCATGCATTAACTCTGAGGTAATCATTCTTGGGAGAGTCAGTTTGATGTAGTAAGGCAGTGGTTCTCAACCTTTTTAATGCCGCGACCCCAACCGGTCGTAAGTCGAGGACTAAACCGGTCGTAAGTCGAGGACTAAACCGGTCGTAAGTCAAGGACTAAACCGGTCGTAAGTCGAGGACTACCCAACCGGTCGTAAGTCGAGGACTTTCCCTGCCCGGGAGCGCCACGCATGTGTGGTTCCGCTCCCTGCGCCAGCCGAGGCGTAGCTGGCAAGCGGCAGAGACGGAGCAGGCTGACCACCAGCTGGCCCAGCCCATGGGAGGTAAGGCACCCGCCGGAAAAGGAAAAAAAATGGCGGACAAAAAAAAATGGCGGACAGCCTTGCTTGGCGACCCCCGTGAAATGGTCGATCGACCCCAAATGGGGTCCCGACCCACAGGTTGAGAACCACTGTAGTAAGGTAATCAGGCTAGAAACCCGAGGCCATGAGTTTTAGTCCTGCCATAGGCACAAAGTCAGCAGCTGGGTGACCTTGGGCTAGTCATTCATTCTCAGCCCTAGGAGGGAGGCAGCGGCATACCACTCCTGAGGTATCTTATGTTTTCCTCAGAAAGAAAGAAAGGTCTTGCTCTTCTCTGCTATAGAATAGAAAGTTGGACAAAGAAGGCTAAACATGATGACTAGAACTCCCCAGTTTACATAGCAGTCTGTGCCGGATTTTTTGTGCATGCTGTGGAAAAATAGGAGAAAACCAATCTCTATTATGCCTCCATGGATTCCTCTCTATAAACATATAATTTGCCTGAAGTAAAAAACAAAACGCCCTCAACAATGCAAAAGTATCCCTAGTGTTTAATTTGCTCAATCCCTGTTTTACCAGCCTACAAACCAGAGTTTAGGAAGAACATATTTATATTTTTAAAAGTAAAATATTCTCCATATTGTTTTTGCTCACCTGTATGGTCCACATGCATTCTTGCTTTGTATTCATGAAACAGGGCAATCATGTATCCTTTCCTAACTGCTTGAGATGGGTTGGCTTACTTCTTCATAATGCAAGCAGCTCTGTGACATAGTCAGAAATGAACATTACTATAGCTGCTGATGTCACAAAGCAGGTGCTGACTGGAGAATAAAGGTTATACTCATGTCTATATATGTTGCAAGTGGAAGGTTTAGGAAGTCTATCCTAAAGAGACATGAGAAAGACATATTGGAGGAAAATCCAACTTTGTATTCAAAACAAAATTCCAAAGTGATCCCAAATGCACAGAAAATGCACACTTCCATAGTGTTATTGAATAGTGGATAAATTTAGTTCACTATTCAGAGCTTTTCCCCTTTCATTTTAATAATACCTTCCTGTCTTCACATGTTAATTCTCAACTAGCTCCATTCTCTATAAAGGATCTGCCTCCTTTCCTTCACCATTTATAGGGCTGCTGCACAGAGGATTTAGATTCCGCAAACAAGTTTGACACTAATGGTAGATTACTTGCCTATGCTATCAAAACATGGGGAACTGGTTAAGTTAACTAATACATGGAAGTTGTTTACACCTGTAGAAAGATTTATGTATTAATTTATTGAACTGTAGGCCCCTTTCCCCTTAAAATAAGTTCCCAAAGCAGAAACAATTTCACAAAAACACCGTATTTTAAAAAAATGAAAAACATTAATTCAGTCCCATAAACTAAATTAAATTAGACAAATACTAATAATTTAAAATGGTTTCCTTAGATGTGGCATCTAACTGCATTTCAAAGTAGACAATATACCCAGGAGATCTTCCAATTTTAATAGATACAGGCAATTCCATTTATAAAGATAATTTCTATAAGAAAGATACTGATGTCCTTCATTGTCATGGGAAAGCCTAATATCAATGACTAAGTTGTCAAAACATCAGTGATTTGAATCATAGATGTATTTATTCAAGAATGAGATTTAGTTATTTATGACACAGATTTATATGCTACTATATCCCAAGGCTATATCTGGTTTATAGGGATCTCAGCAAAGATTATTTCCTCCTGATTCAGCCAAGTAGATAAATCAAATACTGAATCAAATGGAGTACTTTCTCCTTTTTTTGCTCCAGACTTTCCATTAAAGAGTTTCTTAGATTCTGCATCAATTATTTTTCAGAACATCATGTTTCAAAATTTTAACAGCAACACTTTACATTGCCTGATACTAAAGGCATGCTTATGAACATAGTACTCTGATGGCCAATTGATTAATTTTATGTAGACATATATAAACCATCAAGCCTAAATTGGACACAATAAATAGTACTATTTTCATTGAACAGAAAGTACTGGTCAATTTAAAGCAGACTACAATGTTGTTTGGCAAGGCCAATTCATATAGAAACATGAATCAGTAATATGCTTAGACAGAGACAGCATGGCTGAAGGTTTCTCCTGATATTATAGATTACTGTATGTGGGGAGAATTCAGCCAGACAATATCCTATGGGCATTTTGACATTAAAAAGTCCAGAGGAGTCTTATATAGCATTGGAGTCTGCAGTCTGCATCCGGTACCGTGATCGTGTCACCTGGGCCCAATGACACGATCACGGTACCGGATGCAGACTGCAGACTCCAATGCTATATAAGACTCCTCCCATATTGCTGTATCATGGCCCTGATGATGCCGGACGTTTTTAGGTTCAAAATATTGTGTAAGCCCAGCCATGAAAAGAAGGCACAATGTGAAAAATGGTCCACTTGAATGTAGTGTATGTCAGAGTTATCACTGAAAACCAAGCTATTGTCACTTCAAAACAGATCTGATCATGGTCTGGAATGACAGTGGCTTGGTATATTCTACCTGGCTGCATTTTTTAAACTTACTGCATCAGTGGTCTCAAGATCAATGGTATTTTAAAAATAAGACAACATATTAAGCTTTAAATCTCAATGTCATGGTTCTGATAGATGAGACCAAATAAAGCAGAACTCCAAGGCTTGAGTTTTACTCTAAGAACATGTTTATTGGATACAAAGTATCGACATGATCAAAAGTGAAACCAAGACTAAAGTTCCCTCCAAAAGCAACAATATTACAAAGTTAAAATTCCCACCCCAAATCTATGCAATCAACTACATTTCCCAATAGAATAGTTTGGCGGGCTTTCTGACATTAGACTCAACTCCCTAGCTGAGGAAACAGAAATGACCTTGGTTCCCACAGGACAAAGAATTGTTTAGGCTAGCATAGAACTTCCCATACATCTTCCCCCCAATCTCGTGGCAACCGAAAATGAACAAGATGGTTTCAGTCAGGTTCATTGCAGGTTTAACACTCAACTTATTTCTGAATCAATATAGAGTTATTTCTCTCCACCCAAAAGACAAGAATTTCAGAATTGTATAGCTTATCCTATTCATTCATGCCAACAGCAAGTTTACTGCAACTCAAATGAAATAATATTGAGTATTGTTTTGTTTTTTTGCTGATGAGAGTATTAATGAATTTTCATTTATATTTAGGTTTTTTCTTTCTAGTATGTTTTGAAGGGCAAAGGCTAAGGATTAGAGATGATATAATATGAATGAAGTATCATATTATTTTTTGGCGGCAAAGGTGTTAGCCTTTGCCGCCAAAAAATAATGTGATACTTCATTCACATTGCAATATGTTAGAAGCTGCCAAGAGACTCAGCTTTGTGGAATATCTGTGTTAAGGAAAATAAATAAAAATATCTACATTGTTTTTAAAAACAGCCATAGTTATTAATATACACATTGTTTTGACTGATCATCTCTGAAGTTGACAATGTAGGTTTTCATACCATCTCAGACAAAC